TGTGTGTGTGGAATGCAAGTTATTGACTTCTACTTTTGAGTAGCTCGCAGCCGCTTTCAGGGGCAGGAGCAGCTCCCAAGCGCGCTAAGCAGCTTTCCCCATTCAGTGTAATGGGCGGGCACGCCCTGGTTTGCCCTGGCGGAGCCTTCCGACTGAAGGGACCAGAGAGACCTGTGCGCCCACCGTTAATGGGCATCCTTCGATGCATTAATGCTCACCTCCTAGGAAAAGGAATTACAGATCCTCTCACGCATGGCGTTCATTTCACGAGGCAGCTGTACGGCACGGCGCACAACTGCAACTTGCAAAGCAGGCAGAAGGCTGACCTACAAGGACGCGCGCCGAGAGGATGCGCCTCCCGAGGTGGGCCGAGGGCGAAGAAAGGACCAGGAAGCCTCGCGTCGCGGCCTCGGCGCGCTTGCAAACACGAGACTTGAACGGCTCCGGCGTTTAGGCAACATATTCCGGATTTCGTAGAACTGAGAAATATCACGTCAAACGGTACCAAATCGTGCACATGTTTTCCAGCTTTCCAGACCCTTTCATCTTGCCGTGGGCAGACGAAGACAAATTAAAGGAAGGGCTGACGAGTCGGGTCCACCCTGGCACCACCACCACCATAATTTCCCACAGCCCCTCGCCCTTTAAAAAAATTATTTATTTATTTATTATTGGATTTATATCCCGCCCTTTTAGACAGCAGTCTACTCAGGGCGGCTCACAAAAATGTGCCGTGTGCCTTCCTTCATTAAAAGTTCTGGGGAACCTGAAAGCTTGCGCCCTGTTTTGGGACCTCTGAATTGACCTAATAAGGGTTTGGGATTTTCTTTAAAAAAAAAAAAAGTTTAGTATAGCTTCTTTCCCCCCCCCCCCCTTTCCTTTCCTTTCTTGGCCACAGAGATGAGTGTGAAATATCAATAGCCTTGTGATACTCGTACTTAAAGATTAACATCTTTTTCTTGGTGTAAGACTTCGTGAACTTTAGCCCACTTCAGATTCGTTATGCCAAAAAAAATTAATTTTTGGAAGTGACACAAGGCTCTGTGGGGTTTCCTGGAACAGACTAAGCCC